TCACTTTCTTACAACAATAAGACTTGAGTCACACAAGTCTTAAGAACAACACTCAAATGAGATTGAGTTTACAACACAAGAATGAAAGCTCACACAATTGAGCAAAGTAGTGTTGAAGAATTAAAGCTCTATGGATGACAACTTCTTTAGCACTCAAAGAAAATATTTCTAACTCTCAAAAATAATATTTTGATGAGGAAGATGAAGCAAAGGATGAATATAGCTCAAAGAATATATTGGAGTGTAAGAGATGTGTCTTAAAATGAAGGAGAATGAGGATTAAATAGGCTGAGAAAAAAAGAGAACTGTTGGAGTAAGCTGAGGATATGCACCAGATAAAATTAATCGATTAACGTAGATAGATAAATCGATTACGGTACACAGAGGCGAAAATCCTGAATAGAAGAACAGAAATAATCGATTAAAGGAAGGCCTAAAAATCGATTAGTCGGCTCTGTCCGAACTAATCGATTAATTGAAGACAAAAAATTGATTATTGGTCAGACCAGGGGAATCCAACAAAAAGCCTATTAATCGATTATGGAGGAAATAATGCGCAACACAAAGGGCCCAAGCCAGTTGCGATAAGAAGTGAATTGGCTTATACTCGTTTGTTTGAGACACGAACGCTCCTCAAGGGAAAGTATCCCTTATTCAATGAATTTTGAATAGGGGAGAAAAAGAGTCCAAAAATTATTTTGTATGTCAAACGATGTACACAAAAAATATTTAAAGTATATTTTTCTTACCAAAAAAAATTGTGTAATCTTTAAAAATATATTTAAGAAATTTCGACACACTTATTTTGAAACTGACTCAGTAAAATATTTTTGGACAGAGAAAAAATAATTTTTCAAATGACTCAAGAAATAATAATTTTTATCTCTCAGAAATTAATTTGTTTGTGCAGAAACTATTGTCATCCTTACAAAGATTCCTAGACTTAATTAAAAGAGACTTACTCGGGGCATAGGTCGCCAATTTGAAGAGGTCCTTGTCCACAATCTTAGGTGAGACAATCTCCTTTGTGAGAAAGGTGTTGTGGAACCTCTCGGCTGAAGCCCCAGTGTTGAAAGCGAGTCCGGTTTGTACGTGGATGTATTTGCTCCCTTCACGACGCCATGGCCTCTCACCCTTTTTTGCCGCCGATTCTTGACGCGATGAAGCGTTCTTGCACCTTGGCATCCTTCCTCTTTGAAATTGATGAAATTTGGTGAGAAAATGGAAGAAATTTGAGAAGAGTCTAATGAAGGTTCAGAAAATCGGAGAAGGGAGAGAGCTAGGGTTTTTGATTCGTAAAAAGAGAATGGCGAAGAAGACGAAGATTCGTTGTGATATAAGGGCAAAAATCAAATATTAATCGATTAAACACAAGTATTTAATCGATTAAGGAACACAGCCGAGGCAAATCGATTAAATTAAACTTATTAATCGATTAGAAGGGGAGCAGAACCAAATGTTTGCGTTTCAAGCTATTAATCGATTAAACAAAGGTGGTTAATCGATTTAGATGGACAGATGAGTCTAATCGATTAATTTAACAAAATTAATCGATTAAAAGTGAAGCAGAACAAAAGTCCAGTAATCGATTAAGAGGGACAGAGGCGACTAATCGATTTCTCTGCGAGGAGTAATCGATTAAAACTTGTTTCACAAAAAAAGTCATCAAGTCCAATTCGGTTGAATACCAAGGGAAGAGATACCTGCAATAAAAGCCCTGAAAAAAAAATTTATCGCGCCTCCGACGCTCAAATTAGTATAGTCAATAAAAAAATGGATTAGTTCATAGAGATATCCAAAATGCCAAGTTCGTTCCGAATGTGGAAGAAACTCTCCCTACTAAGGGGTTTCGTGAAAATGTCCGCCAATTGATGTTTTGTTTCAACAAACTCAATTGTGACATTTCCCTTTTGGACGTGATCTCGTATGAAGTGATGCCTAATTTCTATGTGTTTAGTCCTCGAGTGAAGAACAGGGTTCTTCATTAGACTAATAGCGCTCATATTGTCACACCTAATAGGGATGTGATCAAGTATAAGGCCGAAATCCACTAGTTGTTGTTTTAGCCAAAGAATTTGGGCACAACAACTTCCCGCAGCGACATATTCCGCTTCGGTGGTGGAAAGTGCAACACTAACCTGCTTCTTACTAAACCACGAGATTAACGAATGACAGAATAAGTGGCAAGTACCGCTGGTACTTTTCCTATCGAGTTTGCAACCTGCAAAATCCGAGTCAGAATAGCCAACAAGATGACATGTTGAACCTTTGGGATACCAAAGACCTACGTTCAACGTGCCGGTGAGATATCGCATTATCCTTTTGATCGCAACCAAGTGCGACTCTTTAGGACATGATTGATACCTGGCGCATATACAAACGGAGTACATGATATCCGGTCTACTCGCGTTAAGATAAAGTAAAGAGCCAATCATACCTCGGTAGCGCTTGATGTCTACCTCTTTACCTTTTTCGTCCTTGTCGAGATAGCAAGAGGTGCTCATTGGTGTGTCAATGGATTTAGATTCGGTAACATCGAATCTTTTAAGCAATTCCCTGCAATATTTTGTTTGACACACGAATGTTCCTTCTTTGCATTGTCTAATTTGCAGCCCAAGGAAGAACTTTAAAATTCCCATCATCGACATTTCAAATTCACTTTGCATCATATCGGAAAAATCCTTGCACAAAACCTCGTTAGTAGCACCGAATATGATATCATCTACGTAAACTTAAACCAAAAGGATGTCTTGGTTATCTTTCTTGATAAAAAGAGTAGTGTCGACTTGACCCCGTTTGAACTCATGGTCCAATAGAAATTTGCTTAACCGTTCATACCAAGCACGAGGTGCTTGTTTGAGACTGTAAAGCGCCTTTTTGAGTTTGAAGACATGTTCGGGAAACTCATAGTCTTCGAAACCCGGGGGTTGTTCGACATACACTTCCTCTTGAATGATACCATTAAGGAAGGCACTTTTAACATCCATTTGATAAAGTTTAAAATCCATTGTAGATGCAAATGCAAGCAATAAACGAATAGCTTCTAAACGTGCAACCGGTGCATAAGTTTCTTCATAATCAATGCCTTCTTCTTGATTGTAGCCTTTAGCTACAAGCCTAGCTTTGTTTCTAGTGATTATTCCATTTTCATCGAGTTTGTTACGAAACACCCATTTTGTGCCAATAACGGAATGATCATTAGGTCTAGGCACCAATTACCAAACATCATTGTGTTTAAATTGGTTAAGCTCCTCTTGCATTGTCATAGACCAATGTTCATCATTAATAGCATCCAAAACGGTTGTTGGTTCAATTTGTGAAACAAAGGCCATGTGATTAATTGTGTTCCTAAGAGAATTACGAGTAGATACTCCCTGCGTTATGTCACCAATGACCTTGTCAATCAGGTGGTTCTTCAATGTTCTCCATTCCTTAGGAAGCTCCGTTTGTTCCTGCGTTTTCTCTTTTTCCGGTTCCTTTTCCTTAACGATTTCTTCTTCATCATCATAAGAACCTGCAACATTATCAACAATACCTTTTCTCGCCAAGCGAGCATCAAATTCATCAAAGACAACATGAATAGACTCCTCTACGGTCTTAGTACGCTTGTTGAACACTCTAGGTTATCTTTTCCATTATTATGAATGAAAACTTTACATCCAAAGACATGAAAATAGGAAAGGTTAGGCTTTCTTCCTTTGTAAAGTTCATAGGGCTTTTTCTTGAGTATCGGTCTAATGACGGCTCGGTTTAACACGTAGCACTTGGTACTCACGGCATCCGCCCAAAAATATTTAGGAAGGTTTGCCTCATTGAGCATAGTTCTAGTCATCTCTCCAAGAGACCTATTTTTCCGTTCAACCACGCCATTTTGTTGTGGTGTACGGGGGGCTGAAAAATTATGCTCAATGCCTAATTTGTCATAAATGACATCAAAGCCGTCTTGATCAAATTCTCCCCCATGATCACTTCTAATGGATGCAATGTGAGAGTCTTTTTCATTTTGAACCAATTTAATGAATTTCTTAAAAGCATTAAGTGCATCATACTTATGAGCAAGAAAGAGTGTCCATGTAAACCTCGAATAGTCATCAACGATAATAAAGCCAAAGTAATTACCTCCTAAACTCATAGTTCTTGAAGGTCCAAAAAGGTTCATGTGCAAAAGTTGTAATGGCCTAGTCGTAGAAACAACGTTCTTTGACTTAAACGAGGCCCTTACTTGCTTCCCCTTTTGACATGCATCACAAATTAGATTCTTCTCAAACTTAAGTTTAGGAACACCAATTACTAAGTCTTTAGAAACCAACTTATTAAGATGGTCCATATTAACGTGAGCTATCCGACGATGCCATAGCCACATTTCTTCCTCTTTGGTAATGAGACACTTAGCTAAAGTAGACGGGGAATTTTCAAGATCAAACATGTAAATGTTATCTACTCTACTACCACAAAGAATAGTCTTATTGTCACACAAGCGTTCTACAATGCATTTTCTAGAATCAAAGATGACACGGTTACCTCTATCGCACAATTGGCTAATGCTAAGAAGATTGTGCTTGAGGCCCTCAACAAGAAGAACGTTCTCAACGGTTGTAGCATTGTCCTTTCCGACGGTGCCACTTCCAATGATTCTTCCTTTGTTGTTGTCACCAAAAACGACATTGCCACCTTTGAAATACTCTAAACTCCTAAATTTGGATGCGTCTCCGGTCATGTGCTTGGAGCATCCGCTATCGAGATACCAAGAGGTACTCGAAGCCTTCAAGCACACCTACAAAAAGATATCAAGGAGACGGTTTAGGTACCCATGTATTGTTGGGTCCTTTTTGGTTAGCATATGTGTGATGTGTGTGCGTTTGTTGGAAATGCCTAATTTTGGTGAAGCACACGGGTGCAATGTGACCTATCTTATTGCAATAGTGGTAAATAACATTTGGATTATTCATCCTATATGGTTGAGTGTAATGAGTTCTAGGTTTGCTAGAATGTGCTCTTCTAGTTTGATTATTTATCCTAGCATTTTTATTCCCCCTAGCTTTAACAAATGTTGTTTTTCTAGGTTGGTTTTTCTTATATCCGAATCCTTCACCATTACTAGCTTTTTGCTTAAGTATTTTATCTAAGGTGTTTGAAGCATTATTGAACTTTCCCAATTTGCTCTCTAAACTAGCAACCTTAGCTTTTAGTGATGTACAACTAGAGCATGTAGAAGTAGTTGAAGGTTATTGTGGCCTTTTTCCAAAAGAGATAATTTCTTGTTTAAGTTTATCATTTATATTTTTGAGTTCTTTGATTTCATTCTCAAAAATAAGGATTTTTTGCTTTATTTCATTGTTTTCTTTGGAAGCCTTTTTGAACATTCTTACCAAATCTTCTACAATGCAAACAACATCATTAAGAGTTAAAGGATCATTGGGAGAAGGTTCTTGATCACTTACCTCTTTTGATGTATCACGATCTTTAATGGACATGAGACATAAGTTGGCCACTTCCTCCGTTTCCGAGTCTTCACTCCCGGGGCCGTCGTTCTCCCAAGAAATGTAGGCACGTTGTGTAACACCCTAATCCGTTCAGGTCTGCAGCCCCTTTTGGACTAAAGTATTAACTTGGCAACGTAAAAATTTCAAACATTTAAAAACTTTATTTCAAATATTGTACTAAATATTTCATAATACATCAGAGTAAAATTATTCAAAATAGTACAGAAGCGATTTGCAAATTACAACAGTGTGGTCACCATGTGATAAAATCATTTAGTTAAATAATAAATTTGTGCACGTCCACGCATCACCTCCATCTCAGTAATCTCCAAAATAGGCTCCATATTTATTCTCTCTCATACCTACGTGTAGAAAGATGAAAAGTCTACACGCTCAGCAATGAAGCTGAGTGGTACCATGGCACAACAAAAGAATTCACAGAATAATTTCTTAAACAATACTCATCACATATATATGTTCAAATATTCGCTTTTTCATATTTAAATCCATATTTGTTATTTTAACAATGATAATGAATATAGTCAATCTTAACTATCATCACTTAATCAGTCCATAATTCACAATAATCACATGTCACTTTTTTTTAATCACAATATTCATCATTTATTACACATAATTTTCATATCAAATTTTATCACAATTTGCT